ATTTTTATGCCAATTATTGGTAATATGAATTCTGGAATTTTCTTGAAGTTTTCTTATGTATTATCCATGCACACAATCTGATTGTTCAACTGACTTTATTTTTCATTTCTTTTTGCTTTGTTTTAGTTTTGTTACCACTATGCCTGTGTAGAGGTTCGACATCGGATGGATTTTAGGGCGTGCGATTCTTCTAGACATTGCAATAACAATGGAGTAAGTAATTTCAATTTTCATTTTAAGCAACATGCTTTGAACAATTGCGATAAACAGTTTGGAGATTTAAAATAATTATTTGAATGATTATTTTTTATCATTTTCGTGCTGCTTGGTGTCATTAATAGTCTGTAATTTATAGCTTCAATCTTATTTTCTTAAGAAATCTTGTGGAACTATTTATTAGAGAGATAAAGTAGAAACATTTAAGATGATTCTGGTTGTATAAAGTGTTCGGTAAATATGTGGGATGGATATGCTATAAGCGTCATGTGTTACATTATAACTAAAATGATGTTCTTTTTGCAGAGAGAAGGCAGAAACTGGTAAATAAAGGTTATTAGAATTTTCTTGCTAGTCTTGCCCCTTAATTTAGTCTGGGCTGTTCTGTGAAGCTAGCAAGTAAATGATAATTAGCGGCATGTTACTGGTAATTGCCAGTATTTGGGTCTGGCTGTGATGAGAGTTGAAAGAATTCAAACAAAAAATTGATTTGGCAACAGAAGCTAGATATACTTTCTAAAGTATGGACAATTTCAAAGAAAAATTTGTTGAATTTGTCTGTTTAAGATAAATTATCTGGAATGGATAAATTCTCTGTTAAATAAATGAAGTGTATTCATTGGTCTCTCTTGAAAATCATGTTTGTACATAAAAAATTGTTTTATTTTCGGATTATTCCAGATTTGCAACAATTTTAACCACTGCCACTGTAAAGACGGGTTTGTTCCTCCTAACTGCCAACCAAAGAAAGGAGAATTTGGAAGTATCGATGATGGACACGAGATTAAAACTGGTTAGTGTCTTAAAAATTTTATTAATCAATGACAATATCTAAGAGAATAAATTAAAGTGTAGGTTCCAAGCTACATTACAAAGCAACTGATGTCAACAAATACAGTTTTATTTTATTTATAAGATTTTAAAAAATCTAAGCCAGTATAAGTTTGTGCTGTTCTTTCTATAGCAACAATGACATTGTTTGCTAACAAAAAGTATACCCAATGTTAGGCAATTTTAAAAGTAGAAATTCCGGTGCATATAATTTTACCGGTTAATTGGATTGTTTCATATATTCCTGGTTTAAAATAGTAGTCATTGTTATATTAATGCCACTAGACTCTTTCGGGATATCTTTTATTTCTTTCTCTTGCATTTTAAAGGCTCTGATCTCGTCTTTTGAAATGTCCTCTTTAGAATCTCCCCCGTGGGGTTCCCGAGTAGTATTTTGAGATTAAGCAGGCCTGGATGAGACCAGGAACAGCTAGGGGATACTCCCTGGTTCCAGAAGGTATTGGGGCCCACCTAAAATACCCCAGGAGCAGAGGAGGGCCGTCCACCCTTAAGCCCTTTTCTTTTGAGGAAAATAAATAATATAATTCCTGGGCAGGCTTACCTGTAGCTTGTATACTGGGGGAGAGGCATACTTAGGGTAACCAACTTTTTAGAGAGCTAATGCACAGCAGTATCAGACTGTGTATCAGACCAAAAAAAGGAACATAATAATTTAACATGTAACATATAATTATACACATGTATTATTATTTTCACATAAATATATGGAAAATAAATATTTATTTGAAATTATGTATTATTCTGTATTGTTTACTTTTCTATTACATAAATGCTATTATTGAAGCAAAACAATAATATAACTAGTTAACGGTGTCAATTGATAGTAGTTCATAGTCAACCAATTAAAAATATATATGAGCAAAAATGTAACAATATTTTATAATATGTTATCTGATACAACAATTTATTTTATCTCTTTTTAAAAACTCTTAACTGGATATTTAAATTTTGCAGGCTATCTTACTATATTTTCTTCTTCATTTTGTTGAGGTAACATTGGTTTATAACATTGTATAAATTTCCGGTGTGCATCATTATATTTCGACTTCTGTATACACTACATCGTGTTCACCACCAAAAGTTTATTTCCCCTCGTGACCATACAAATGTCCCCCTTTACCTCTTTCACCCTCCCCCCACCCCCATTCCCCTCTGGTAACCACCAATCTGTTCTCTGTGTCTATGTGTGTATTTATTTTTTATCTTCCACATATGAGTGAAATCATATGATAATTGTCTTTCTCGGTCTAACTTATTTCGCTTAGCATAATACCTTCAAGGTCCATCCATGTTGTTGTAAATGGCAAGATTTCATCTTTTTTATGACTGGGTAGTATTCCATTGTATATATATGCCACATCTTTATCCATTCATCCTTCAATGGGCAATGAAGTTGTTTCTGTCTTGGCTATTGTAAGTAATGCTGCAGTGAAGATAGGGGTGCATGTATCTTTTCAAATTACTGTTTTCATAATCTTTGGAGGAATACCCAAAAGTGGGATAGCTGGATCATATGATAGTTCTATTTTTAATTTTTTGAGGAATCTCCATACTGTTTTCCATAGTGTCTGCACCAGTTTACATTTGTACCAACGGTGTACAAGTGTTCCCTTTTCTCTACATCCTCACCAACGTTTGTTATTTCTTGCCTTTTTAATAATAGCCGTTCTCACGGGCATGAGATGATATGTCATTGTGGTTTAGGTTTGCATTTCCCTAATAATTAGTGATGTTGAACGTCTTTTCATCTGCCTGTTGACCATCTGTATATCTTCTTTGGAAAAATGTCTATTCATATCCTTTGCCCAGTTTTTAATCGAGTTGTTTGTTTTTTGTTGTTGAGTTGTATGATTCTTTATATACTTTGGATATTAATCACTTATCAGATATATGATTTGCAAATGTCTTCTCCCAACTGGTAGGTTGTCTTTTTGCTTTGTTGATGGTTTCCTTTGCCATGCAGGAACTATTTAGTTTGATGTACTCCAATTTGTTTATTTTTTCTTTTGTTTACCTTGCCTGAGGAGATATAGCCAGAAAGATACTGGTAAGACCAATGTCAAAGACCATATGGCTTATGTTGTCTTCTAGGAGTTTTATAGTTTCGGATCTGACATTCAACTCTTTAATGCATTTTGAATTAATTTTTGCATGTGGTGTAAAACAGTGGTATACTTTCATTCTTTTGCATGTGGCTGTCCAGTTTTCCCAACATCATTTATTGAAGAGATGTTCCTCTCTCCGTTGTCTGTTCTTGGCTCCTTTGTTGAAAATTAGCTGTCCATAAATGTGTAGGTTTATTTCAGGGCTCTCAATTCTGTTCCATTGATCAGTGTATCAGTCCTTCTGCAGTACCATGCTGTTTTTATTACTATAGCTTTGTAGTACATTTTGAAATCAGGGAGTGTGATGCCTCCAGCTTTGTTCTTTGTTCTCATGGTTGCTTTGGCTATTTGGGGTCTTTTCTGTTCCATATAAATTTTAGAATTCTTTATTCTATTTCTATGACAAATGTTGTTGGGATTTTGATAGGGACTGCATTGAATCTGTAGATTCCTTTAGGTAATATGAACATTTTAACTATGGTAATTCTTCCAGTCCATGGGCATGGAATATCTTTCTATTTCTTTGTATCTTCTTTGATTTCTTTTAACAATGTTTTGTAGTTTTCGGTGTACAGATCTTTCACCACCTTGGTTAAATTTATTGCTAGGTGTTTTATTCTTTTTGTTGTGATTGTGATGTGGATTGTTTTCTTGAATTCTCTTTCTGCTAGTTCATTCTTAGTGTATAGAAAGACAACTAATTTTTGTATGCTGATTTTGTACCCTGCAAATTTACTGCATTCGTTTATTGTTTCTAATAGTTTTTTGGTGCATAATTTAGGGTTTTCTAAGTTTAAAATTATGTCATCTGCAAATAGTGAAACTTTTAGTTCTTCTTTTCCAATTTGGATACATTTTCTTTTTCTTTCCTAATTGCTCTGGCTAGGACTTCCAATGCTATGTTGAATAAGAGTGGTGCAAGTGGGCATCCTTGTGTTTTTCCTGTTCCTACAGGGATAGCTTTCAGGTTTTCACCACTGAGTGTGATGTTAGCTGTGGGTTTGTCATATGTGGTCTTTATTACATTGAGGTAGTTTCCTTCTATACCTATTTTATTCAGAGTTTTTACCATAAATCGATGGTGAATCTTGTCAAACGTATTCTCTGAATTTATTGAGATGATCATGTGATTTTCATTCTTCATTTTGTTAATGTAATGTATCATGTTGATTGATTTGTAGATGATGAACCATCCTTGCAACCCTGGAATAAGTCACACGTGATCATGGTGTATGATACTTTTAAAGTATTGTATTCAATTTGCTAATATTTTGTTGAGGATTTTTGCGTCTATGTTCATTAGTGATATTGGCCTGTAATTTTCTTTTTTGTGTTGTTCTTGTCTGGTTTTGGTATCAGGGTAATGTTGGCCTTGTGAAATGAATCCCCTCCTCTTCAAATTTTTGGAAGAGTTTGGGAAGGATGGGTATTAAATCTTATTTGAATGTTTGGTAGAATTGAGCAGATACACCATCTAGTCCTGAACTTTTGTTTTTTGGGAGGTTTTTGATTACTGTTTCAATCTCCTTACTAGTGATTGGTCTATTCTGATTGTCTATTTCCTCTTGATTTAGTTTTGAGAGGTTGTATGATTCTAAGAATTTATCCATTTCTTCTAGGTAATCCAATTTGTTGGCATATAGTTTTTCATAGTATTCTTTTATAATCCTTTGTATTTCTGTGGTATCCATTGTAATTTGTCCTCTTTCATTGCTTTTGTGTGTGTATGTGAGGAAGATCAGCCCTGAGCTAACATCTGATGCCAATCCTCCTCTTTTTGCTGAGGAAGATTGGCTCTGGGCTAACATCTGTGCCCATCTTCCTCTACAATATGGGATGCCGCCACAGCATGGCTTGACAAGTAGTGTGTCGGCCCATGCCCAGGATCTGAACCTGCAAACCCCGGGCCACCACAGCGGAGCGTGAGCACTTAACTGCTACACCACCGGGCTGGTCCCTCTGATTTTTATTTTTTCCTTCCTTCTACTGACTTTAGGCTATGTTTTTTTCTTATGTTTCTTGTTCCTGTGTGTGTAATGTTAGACAGTTTAAGATTTATCTTGTTTCCTGAGGTAGACCTGTATTGCTATAATCTTCTCTCTTAGTACCACTTTTGCTGCATCCCATAGATTTTGGTATATCATGTTTTCATTTTCATTTGTCTCCAGGTATTTTTTGATTTCTCCTTTGATTTCTTCATTTATCCAATAGTTGTTCAGTAGCATGTTTTTAAACTCCACATATTTATTGCTTTTCCAGTTTCTTCTTGTAGTTGATTTCTAGTCTCATACCACTGTGGTCAGAAAAGATGCTTGATATGATTTCAATCTTCTTAAATTTATTGAGACTTGTTTTATTTCCAAGCATATGATCTATCCTTGAGAATGTTCCATGTGCACTTGAGAAGAATGTGGATTCTGCTGATTGTGGATGGAATATTCTCTACATATATATGAAGTGCGTCTTGCCTAATGTTTCATTTAAGGCCACTGTTTCCGTGTTGACTTTCTGCCTGGATGATATATCCATTGATGTAAGTGGGATATTCAAGTTCCCTACTATTATTGTGTTGCTGTCAACTTCTCCCTTTAGGTCTGTTAATAGTTCCTTTATATATTTTGGTGTTCCTATCTTAGGTGCATATATGTTAATAAATGTTACGTCTTCATGATGGAATGTCTCCTTTATTATTATTTAATGTCTATTTTTGTCACTTGTTATCTTTTTTTTTTGGAGAGGAAGATTGGCCCTGAGCTAACATATGTGCCCTTCTTCCTCTATTTTGTATGTGGGACGCCACCACAGCATGGCTTGATGAGTGGTGTATAGGTCAACC